GGCAGACACGGGCAGAGTCAGGGCTGTGTACAGGACACGCGACTGTATGGTATGCACTGGATTGTGAACCTTCAGTCTCTAGACAATAACACTTCTGTGTTTCTTGCCTGTGACTCTTCACATTTCACCTCAGGTGGCCGCAGTGGGACAAGAGCCGCTGCTATTTGGAAGAAGTTTTTGGGAAAATATTGCCTATGGTCTGAACCGGACTCCAACCATGGAGGAAATCACGGCTGTGGCCATGGAGTCTGGAGCCCACGATTTCATCTCTGGATTCCCTCAGGGCTATGACACGGGTATCTGCGTTCTCACATCCCGTCTCCAACAATCCTGCCTTTATTACTCAGTCCCTCCTGCCCCTCGGATGTCAATCTGTAGTTGGAACCCTCGTTTCTAAGATTCACATTCTCAGTGCTCCATCTGTCTTCAGTCGGCCTCCCTTTCCAGCTGCCTCTGTCAGCTGCATCCATGTCCTTGTGTGTGGTGTGTGAGTGTATGTATGTGCGTGTGTATGTATGTATGTGTGTGTGAGCATGTACGTGTGTGTATGTCTGTGTGTGTGAGTATGTATGTATGTGTGTGTGTATGTATGTATGCATATGTGTGTGTATGTGTGTGTGTGTATGTCCGTGTGTGAGTGTGTATGTCCGTGTGTGTGTTTGTCCATGTGTGAGTGTGTATGTCCGTGTATGAGTGTATATGTCCATGTGTGAGTGTGTTTGTCCGTGTGTGAGTGTGTGTGTCTGTGTGTGAGTGTGTGTCTGTATGTCTGTGTGTGAGTGTGTGTGTCTGTGTGTGAGTGTATATGTCTGTGTGTGAGTGTGTGTGTCTGTGTGTGAGTGTGTGTGTCTGTGTGTGAGTGTGTATGTCTGTGTGTGAGTGTGTATATGACTATGTGTTTCAGTATATCTCTGTGTGTGTATCATACCCTGAGGGAATGAATGTGTGTGTATGTGTGTTTATATGTGTGTGTATGTGTGTATATGTGTATATATTTGTGTGTATATGTATGAGTGTACATGTGTGCATTTGTATGTGAGTGTGTCTGTGTATATGTGTGTGTATGTATGTGTGCCTATGTGAATGTGTATGTGAGTGCCTGTGTGTGTGTGTGTGTGTATATATATATATGTATATGTATATGTATATGTATATGTATATGTATATGTATATGTATGTATGTATTGTGTGTCTGTGTATGTATGTTTGTATATGTGTATATGTATCTGAGTATATATGTGTGTGCCTGTGTATGTATGTGTGCATTGTGTCTGTATATGTGAGTATGTATGTATGTGTGTATGTATGTGTGTATCTGTGTATATATGTGTGTGTCTGTGTATGTGTATATGTATCCCGGCCCGCGGATCAGTCAATGGGGTCTGCAAGGGAGAGAGTGGGGACGGAGGGGCAAGAGACTAGAAGAATGGAGACAAGACAAAGTTTTCTGATCAGGTCTCATTTATTGAAAGGCAATTATGGGTACATAAGCACAAGCAGGGGACTGCAGCTGAAGACACTTAACCACGAGTGCCTTGCAGCTGGGGGCACTAAACAACAAGTCCAAGATATGTCTGAGAAAAACAAGATGTTTATCAGAGTGTGCTCAGCTGTTGTAGGCTGCTTACAGAAACATCATGCTAGAAAAACAAGTCTCTTGTCAGGGTGGAAAAGTATCAACCTGCAAATATATGGCCCAAGATGGCTGCAAAGATGATAGCCGCTTTCTGCTAGGAGTTGGCTCCCAACATGTATATGTATGTGTGTGTATGCGTGTGCGCGCGCGCACGCACGCCTGTCTACATCTCAGCTGGACTCTTTCGTCTCTGCAGAGGTTGGTGAGACTGGCAACCAGTTGTCAGGAGGTCAGCGACAGGCAGTGGCTTTGGCCCGAGCCTTGATCCGGAAGCCACGCCTGCTTATCTTGGATGATGCCACCAGTGCCCTGGATGCTGGCAACCAGCAGCGGGTAAGACTCTGGTTCTCAGCCTTTGTCTTTTTAAGCCATTTTGCTATGTGGTCTTGGCTGGCCTCAGCCTCACTTTGGAGCCAATGCTGGCCTCTGACCCTTGGTAATCTTCCCGCCCGCTACCTCAGGAGGGTGGGGTCACCCTGCTTTGTCATCTTCCTGGAGTCTCATTCCCGTGGGAGCTTTGCTTCTGTTACTCACCCCATGTTAGTTACACCAACAACATAACTGTTCAAACCTGTCCTTGGAATTCTTGGTTCCCACTAGCTTTTCTTCAGGACACAGGAACCAGCAAACAGAGCTCCTGTCCTAACAGTCTGTGTGGGCTAAGCTTGCGTTGTGTCTTAGACGCTCTATCTCACCCTTTGTACTAATTTGCCCGTCAGAGTCTTTTGCTGTGCTTATTCTGTGGATGGCAAAATAGGGGCTAAGAGGGGTTGATTAACCTTCTGAAAGTCACACAGCTATTGAGCAGTGGAGCCTGAGTCCAGATATAAATCATCCAAATTCTTGTGTTTGTTGTTACTGTTAATTTTTTTAAAATTAAGATTAATTTATTTTATGTGTATGAGTGTTTTCCCTGAATGTTTGTATGTGCCTAGTGTCTCTGAAAGTCAGAAGAGGGTATGGATCCCCTGGAACTGGAGTTACGGATGGTTTTGAACCTCTAGGTGGGTGCTGTAACTCAAGCCCTGGTCCTCTGGAAGAGCAGCCAGTTCTCTTCACTGCTGAGCCGGCTCTCCAGCCCCTGCATTACATTTCTTCAAATTTAATATAAAAATTCTCAGTTTAGGGGCTGGAGGGATGGCTGAGTAGTTAAGAGCATTAGCTGTTCTTCCAGAGGACCTGGGTTCAATTCCCAGCACCCACACGGCAGCTCACAACAGTCTGCAACTCCAGTTTCAGGGTTTCTGACACCCTCACACAGGCAAAAACCACCAGTGAACATAAAATAAAAATAAGCTGGGCGGTGGTGGCGCACGCCTTTAATCCCAGCACTTGGGAGGGAGAGGCAGGCGGATTTCTGAGTTCGCAAGTTCGAGGCTAGCCTGGTCTACAGAGTGAGTTCTAGGACAGCCAGGGCTACACAGAGAAACCCTGTCTCGAAAAACCAAACCAAAAAAAAAAAATTATAAAGAAGTTTCTCAGTTTATTAGTGGGTTATTAAAAATATGTATGACATAGAAGAGGTGACATGTGGGGTGGGTCCTGGGGGGGGGAGAAGAGGAGGGAAATGGGAGGCGATGTGATTCTATTTCATTATATTCATGTATGAAATTCTCAAAGCATAAATTAATATATATTTTTGAATGTAAAAAAATTCCCACATATTAAGGCTGGACGAGGCGACCCTAGTCTTACTGAAACTCAGTATGCCATGTTTGGGTGATGTCCTTGGGAGGCCTGCTTTTTTCTGAAGGGAAATTAAGGAGTGGGAGGGGGGTAGGAGGAGGGACTGGGAGGAGAGGAGGATGGAGAAACAGCAGTCGGGATGTAATGGATGTACTATATGGGGAAGAATAGTTTTCTTTTAAAGTTTTCCAGCTTGTGGGTAGAGATGAGAAACTGTTCAGTCCCCTCCCCCTGTGCTTCTGCTCTTGTCTACCTATACCACCTCTTGAGAAGACTCTTTAACAAATCTAAGGTTTGGAGAGGAGCTCCAGACCAGGGATATCGCATCCTTGGGAAGTTACAATGTGTCCCAGTCTTGGAAGCACCGGGGACTCCTGGGCGGTAGAGGTCTGGACTGTAAGGTGTATGTATGTGTGTGTTTCTGCAGGTCCATCGGCTCCTGTATGAGAGCCCCAAGCGGGCTTCTCGGACGGTTCTTCTTATCACCCAGCAGCTCGGCCTGGCAGAGCAGGCTCACAACATCCTCTTTCTCAAAGAAGGCTCTGTCTGCGAGCAGGGCACCCACCAGCAGCTCATGGAGAGAGGAGGGTGCTACCGGGCCATGGTGGAGGCTCTTGCGGCTCCTTCAGACTGACGGGCCACTGGACTGCACACTGCGCGCTGCCCTCCCCCTCCCCTCTGCTCTGTGTGGCGGAGAACCTGGGACCAGAGATATTACCACACCCACTGAGATAGCTGAGGAGCTGAGGTGTTTGTTACATGAGAAAATGTAATCTCTAGGAGATGCCCGGAATTTACCACGAAAATTTCCCTGACACGCTCCCCATTAAAAAGACGGGGTTTCAGGTACCCCAGGCTAACACTGAGCTGCTAAATTGCCTGTCTCCACCCTCCTGGTACTGAGCTTGTATTACAGCCTGCACACACAAACCTGGTTGATGTGGCGTTGGGATAGAATGAGAAGAACTGCCCAAAATGTACAGAGAGAAAGGACAAGCAGCTTGCAATAAACCAAAGGCACAGGCTGGCCTATGGGTGTTCCGTGGGTTCTTGATACTTATAATAAAACTGGTGTTTTGTACTGTGGCGTCTCCTGTTTCTTAGCTCCCACAAAGTGCTCACTGAGTTAGCCAGCACCCTTCCCCCCGACACACCCCAGTGTCCCGTTCTTCTTCAGAATTCTGTTTTACTGCTGGGCCCATCATCTTTTATTTCCTGGGGCTCTCATCTCTCTTTCCTACCTACCCACCGACTCCTAGTGCTGAGCAGGACCGGGCTGCAGCCCCTCCCTCTCTGCACCCCAAGGCATCAGCAACATTTTGGAGTCCTCTTCCTCATTGAGGCTGGAGGAAGCGCGGCAGCGCAGCGAGTGGGGACCCCAGAAAGCCAGACTGGATAACCTCGCTCGCTCTGATTCTTTCTGAACCGCTCACCTTCTCCTCAGCCGCACACGCCTGGATAATCTCAATAAAACGGATAGGATTATCCAGGAAATCTCTTCCATTCAGCGAGGGCCCGGTGTGTGACGTCAGCAGTTGCTGGGCAGATAAGGTCCGCAAAGGTTGCAAAGAGAGGTGGGGTTTAGGATTCAAGGAAGGAGCGCTCAGCCTTGACTTGCGCGGCGTGAGCAGCCCGGGGCAGAAGAGTGCGTCCTCGTGGGTGGCCTCAGGTGGTGAGACTGTTGAACCGAGAGGGGCCCTAGGAGGGATACTTGCGCCCTCTCCTTGGTTCGTCCTTCCCCATTTTTTCCTGGTTGTCCCAGGACCTAAAGACCTGGTGCATCCTTTTATCGTATTTTCCAGTTTCAAAAAAATAATGCTCATTTGCGCGCTGCCCCCATCCCCAGGACGCACACTTAGGTGAATCTGCTCCCCTCAGGTTCCAACTTTCTAGAGAACCTCTTTAGACTACAGTACCCTATCCAGTTCTCAGCTGTTCCCAGAAGATGCGCCCCCCACCCCGGCCGGGGGGTCCTCACGTACCCCACTGCTAGACGGCCTTCGAAGGCTCACACCTCTTCTTCCACAGCCCATTCTCTAGCTGGTTTCACCGACGTGGCAGCAGGAAAACTCATCCCCAACACTTTTTTTTTTTTAAGTTCAGACACCCATTGACTGGGCTCTACTCGGAAAGGGCAGGGGATGGGGGTGGGGGACTGGTTCCCTCCCCTTGGTACTGTGGCTTTCGCTTTCACTTCCTCGTCGGAGAGTCGACAGATCTCTGGGGCTAAGTGGTCATGGCGTTACTGGATCTGTGCGGGGCTACTCGGGGGCAGCGGCCCGAGTGGGCTGCCCCGGATGCGGGAAGCGAGTGTCGCTCGGACCCGGGACACTACAGTTTCTCTGTGCAAGCTCCGGAGCTCGCACTTCCCAGGGGAATGCAGGTGAGGATTGTAGGCGTTCTTGAGAGATGCAGGGGGTAGGTGGTGGCACAGAGGAAGGAGTGTCTGCCTGGGTCTGAGGAGGTGAGGAAGCCTGGAGAGGCTGTCCAGGAGAGAGCAGCATCCAGGCTAGCCCTGAAGAACCAACGTGGAGATTAAGGCATGGGAAGGCGGGAGGGAGGGAGGAGGAGAGAAACGGGTGGGGGAGGGACAGAAGAACACACACACACACACACACACAGGCTGGAGGAGAGACAGAGACTGAGAAGATTGTTGGTGTCCATCCCAAGACACCATGCACAAATCACTATGCTTTCACAGACCCACCACTAACTACTACAGGGTCTGTACAGTTGTCTTGGAAGACCTATGAACTTGGGTGGCTAACCTGGCCTCAGCAACATGTCCTGAGTGTCCTAGGACACGTTAGGTGGCCTAGGTCTCAAGCCCCTCTACTGTAAAATGAGAATAAGTTATTAAAATGTGGTTTCCAAGAACTGAAGGAGTCACGGATCAGGAAACACCTTGAAGTCGGCTAGCATGACCTTTGTCCCCATGTGTGGAAAGCAGAACACTGGTGGGCATAAATCCTGCTTTTCCTTCTTTGGGGCTATTGACATCTAGAGTCTACAGACCCCTCCTCACCCTGAAACCCTACCAGGAAACTCCTAGTACTGAGGTGCTCTTCTGCCTCTTGCCTCTCTCAGCCCACTGCGTTCCTGAGGTCCTTTGGTAGCGACCAGGAAAGGAATGTTCAAATTGAGATGGCCCACGGCACAACCACACTAGCCTTCAAGTTCCAGCATGGCGTCATCGTGGCTGTGGACTCCAGAGCCACTGCAGGGAGTTATATTGGTGAGTGTGTGTGTTCCAGTGGCCAGCCTCTGTTGGAGATGTTCTCCCAGTAGAGCGGAAGGCCTGCACTGAAGTTCGGACAGAAAGGGCATTGAGTTAGCATGGGTGTGTGTGTGTGTGTGAAGCTGTGGGTTCATTTCTTTGATCTCAAAACTCTTCCAGCCACCTTAAGGGTGAACAAGGTGATCGAGATTAACCCTTACCTGCTTGGCACCATGTCCGGTTGTGCGGCCGACTGTCAGTACTGGGAGAGGCTCTTGGCTAAGGAATGCAGGTGGGTGGATTTTATCATCTCATTGGTTCAGCCTCCCTCCGTGTCCAGGTCACTTACACACACCCGGTGATCCAGTTTAGTGATCACAATTTTTTTTAAATTGCCTTTGTGTGATTAAAAATCTCCCAAATCTTAGCCTATGTCCCTGCTTTTAAGCCAGATAACCTGGCAATTATTTAACCTGCAGGATGGTGTCATTTACTAGGCTTTTAAAATGTTCAAAGATTTTAAATTCCAAATCTCTCCTTTATTCTTATGCACACAAGCTCATACCTTCCAAACCCTCATCTTTACAGCCCCTTCTCCCTCATTCTATGGGAGGAACAGAATGCTTGCCTGCCTCCCCTGAGGCCTCCTTTCTCCTCCTGCAGGCTGTACTATCTGCGGAATGGGGAACGCATCTCCGTGTCTGCAGCCTCCAAGCTGCTATCCAACATGATGCTGCAGTACCGGGGTATGGGCCTCTCCATGGGCAGCATGATCTGTGGCTGGGATAAGAAGGTGGGTAGCCTGTTCCTGTGCTCCCCACCTGGACGACAGGCCATTGAATCCTCCCCTCCCCCATGCTTGGTCCAGGTCTTGATATTTACCAAAGTGTGCTGTCTTTTGTTTTGTTTTTAAATAAACACAGTTACAGGTTTTCTTAAAAAAAAAAAAAGATTTATTTATATTATTTATGTGAGTGCACTGCAGCTCTCTTCAGACACACCAGAAGAGGGCATCGGATCCCATCACAGATGGTTGTGAGCCACCATGTGGGTGCTGGGAATTGAATTCAGGATCTCTGGAAGAGCAGTCGAGGCTCTTAACCGCTGAGCCATTTCTCCAGTCCCCTGTCTCTTATTTTTATTTATTTTAATTAAAGGGTGCTGTCTTAACTCAGATGTTTCTATGATGGGATCACTGTGTTGCCCGCTCTCCACAAGTCACACTTGTGTTTTCATATGATCGTTAAACTATTTCCAAGTTCAATCTGGGATGGCTTCCCGTCTTCTAGGGACCAGGACTTTACTACGTAGATGACAGAGGGACTCGGCATTCGGGACAGATGTTTTCCACTGGCAGTGGGAACACGTACGCCTACGGGGTGATGGACAGTGGTTACCGGCAGGACCTCAGTCCTGAAGAGGCCTACGACCTGGCCCGCAGAGCTATTGTTTATGCTACTCACAGAGACAACTATTCTGGAGGAGTTGTCAACAGTAAGAGACCAGGGCTCACCCAGCATCTGGGAGAAGAGGAGGAGCTTAGGTTGGGAGACCCGGGGGAGGAGTGGAGATTGTCAGGTCTGAGAACACTGAAGTCCCAGAGAAAGGTTTTCAGCTAGTGTGTGTGTGTGTGTGTGTGTGTGTGTGTGTGGTGTGTGTGTGTGTGTTGGAGTTGGGGTGTGTGGGGTGTGTGAGTGCTCAGTGCTTGTGTAAGCTGCTGCTGCTTACAACACACCGAAGAAAGGCCTGACGCCATGTTCTTTTCTCAATCACCCACAGTGTACCACATGAAGGAAGACGGTTGGGTAAAAGTGGAGAGTTCCGATGTCAGTGATCTGCTGCACAAATACCGAGAGACCGTTCAGTGATGGCTGCCGGGCAGGCCTCCCCAGGCACTGGCGGCACTGGCTGGCAGACTCAGGGACCTGGGTCTACTTTGGTCTTAGAAGAAAGAAGGGCCCAACCTGGGCTGGAGAGAAAGCTCTGAGGCTATTGGAGACAGCCATGTTTACCCTCTCACTCAGCACCATATTCACGGATACCTTCTAAGTACAATAAAAGAAAACGATTACACACATCTCTGTGTTGTGGCTGAATGGGTCCCGGATGTGGGGTCCTTTGGAGGGAGGGCTAAGGAGCAAACAGGAAGTCAGGCGGCTTCCATTGAGAAGGCGTTCCCCAGGGTCTTCCTGGACATCTCTCGGGAGGACCATCACCCATCTTTTTTCTCTTTGGAGACTCATTTTCAATTTCATTTGGCCCACAGCCCTTCCTGGAGTGTCCTGGTCTCGGGACTCCAGTGTGGCCCCTCGTGTATGTTTTGGGGTAGCCGGGAGGACGTTGTGATGACAATGAGCATGGGAAGCTCAGGCAGCGCCTGTGTGACACTGGATAGTGAATGTAACGGCGGCGTGCTGAGGTTCAGTTTCATGATGTTCCATCCCTGGCTGCAGGGTGTGAGCACAGTGAAGAGGGATGGGGGGTGGGGGAGCAGAGGAGAAAGTGAAAGAAAAAAGGGAATCCCTGAGCCTTGCGTAAGTGCAGGGCAGGAGTGCTCAGCTCAGGAGTGCTCAGCTCAACAGTGCTCAGCGCAGGAGTGTTTAAGAACCAGGTCAGGGGTTAGAGGACTCTGAGAGCCAGAACAGCCTGATGGGATCGGTCTCCAGCAGGGGCGGTCCTAAAGCCTGAGCAGATACGCATGCTTTGACGCCGCCCCCAACATTTAAACTTCAAGTGACTCACCGGTAGTCACACCGGCATTTCTAAGGGGATTTTTTCCTTTATAGAGAGTTTCAGCCCGTCCAGTCATTTCTGCTTGTGGCGCTCTGGTGGAGGGGCTGCTCTGGTGATGAGTAGCAAAGACACTATTTTCATCTCTGAGAATGGAACCTGGCAACTCATCATGTTCTGTGAGGGCTCTTCTCTTGAGCCCAGAGAGGGCGATTTCTGCAATAAACCGGGCTCTGGGGAGGAGGTCGGGTAGGACTGAAATTCCCCTTTGATGGTGTTAGCCTACAGCTTTCCCTGACTACCTCACAAGCAGCAGGCTCTGGCACTGACCCAGGATTCTCACCCCAGGTGTGGTTGTGTTGGGAAGAAAGTCTGAGGACAAAGGGCCCGAGCCTTCTGGGTTCAAAATCTGAAGGTGAACCTTGGGCCTGGTGATAGAAGCTGAGGCCGTCTTGTAAGCCCTAGTTTTACCCCAGACCCCAATTCTTGAGCTTGCCTGGAAACAAACAAACAAACCCTTAACCATCTCTTCTCTTCCCCCCTCCTTCCTTCCCTCGTCTCCCTCTTTTTTTTTCAAAGTGATTCGAGGTGGGACTCCTGTGTGGCCCGCTGACTGGGAGGGGACCTAAAGTCACTCCCTCCTCCATTTTCGTCCCTCTCCTCCCCCTCCCTCCATGACCATTCTCTTCCCTCCGCCTTTCTCCTTCTCCTATACTCCTCCTACACTTTCCTCTTCCTCAAACCTACTGGACAGCAAACCTTGGGCTCAGGCAATTTTTCTCTATCTCTGAACTATATTCCCAGTTAAATGGGCGCTTCTTAAAATATGCTCGGAGGTCGGAGAAATGCAATTTTCCCCTCTTTTCGAAGCATCTCAGACCCTCAGAGTTTTGCTAGTAGCAGCCCTGGAGGGCGAGCCTCCTTAGGGACCTGGGACATTCACCCCACCCTCAGATTGACCGACGCCATCTGCTGGCGGCTGTGCGCAGCGCCGCGACCACGGCAGTGAAGTGAAAGCGAAAGCCACGGGACAGACGCGCTCCCTGCGCACCCAGGAGATCCAGTTTGGGAAGAAGCAGGTTTTAGAAGCTCTCCTGAGCTGCCGCTCCGCAGCCGCAGGTAAGTTCTTTTGGATAGAACCTGAGCGTTAGCAGGAGTGTGGTCCATTCCCAAATCCTTGGTGTCCCCATTCCTTGTCCCTTGTCTTGGTTCTTCTGCCGCTCCCTCTTGCCCGGTGTCCTCTGCTCCTTGCCCCTGCCCCACCCAATGTCCCAGGTCCCCTGACTCTCACCCCTTGCCCAAATTCCTCTGCTCCACTCCCTTGCTCTGTCCCCGGTCTTCTGTTGGGCGCCGTCGGCCCAGTGCCTCTGCTCGGAACCTCCTGCCCCAAGCCCTCTACCGCTAATGAACTCACTCACATCCCGCCCCTGTACCGGGTCTCCTGACTCTAAGGACCCGGGGAATAAGAGATGTGTGTCTGGGGATTGAGTCTTCTTGGCTAACTAACACCAACAAGCTTCAGGGAGACAGACGCGGTGGCAGCGGACCGCCTCCCCCCACCCCGTGGTGTGTGTGTGTCTGTGTGTGTGTGTGTGTGTCTGTGTTAGAATTGTGTGGCCTTCCCTGCTCCTTCAGACAGGCAGCATGGCATCAATCCTAGGGAAGACTTGACTAGGAGGGGACCTTTCCGGTGAGCAAGAAGCCTCAGTGTGGATTTGGGGCAGGAGGCCCGTGACCAGGGTTGGAGCTCCACAGCCCTAATTTCTCCTTTTTCCGCAGACCCCACCATGGCGCTGCCCTACCTGAAGCCCTGGGCCTCTCTGCTGCTGGCGGACATGGCTTTACTTGGGTTGCTACAAGGATCTCTGGGAAATCTGCTTCCCCAGGGGCTGCCCGGACTATGGCTAGAGGGTACCCTGAGACTTGGAGTGCTGTGGGGACTGCTAAAAGTGGGAGGGCTGCTGGGACTTGTGGGGACCCTTCTGCCCTTGCTCTGCCTGGCCACCCCCCTGTTTTTCTCGCTGAGAGCTCTGATGGGAGGCACCGTGAGCACCTCAGCAGTCAGAGTCGCTTCTGCCTCTTGGGGCTGGCTGCTGGCTGGCTATGGGGCCGCCGCGCTGAGCTGGGCCGTGTGGGCTGTGCTGAGCCCTGCTGGAGCCCAGGAGAAGGAACCAGACCAGGAGAACAACAGAACACTCATGATGCGGTTGCTGAAGCTGTCCAGGCCGGACCTGCCTTTCCTCATAGCTGCCTTCTTCTTCCTTGTGATGGCTGTGCTGGGTGAGAGGGAGAGACCGCCGTGAGAGGGAGGTGGGAGAAGGGCCTGGCCAGGGCGCAGCCTCCTTATCTTTCTTGCTCTTTCAGGGGAGACATTAATCCCTCACTATTCTGGTCGTGTGATTGACATCCTGGGAGGTGATTTCGACCCCGACGCCTTTGCGAGCGCCATCTTTTTCATGTGCCTGTTCTCTGTTGGGAGGTGAGAGGATGATTGACTTCAGGTCCCTGTAGTAGAGACACGACTGGACAGGGGCCCTCCATTTTCACTTTATTTTGCACAAGGCATGCATGTACACCTGCATGTCAGAAGAGGGCATCAGATCCCAGTAAAGATGGCCGTGAGCCACCAGGCGGTCGCTGGGAATTGAACTCAGGACCTCTAGGAAGAGCAGCACTCAACCTCTGAGTCATCTCTCTGGTCTGCCTTTGACTCTTTTTATACAGACCCAGGAGCCTGCAGTCTCAAGTAAACAAATAAAAAGGGATGGTTTGGCTGGGTTTTGACTAGGATGAGAAGACCTATCCCCCCACCCCCTCCTCCATTCTAGTTTTGCTGATTTGCGTTTCAGGGTTGGTCTCTCTTTGGTATCTCTGTAGCTCTGGCTATTGTGGTTCATACTGATCTTTCTGCAATTAGCATCTGTGAACCTCCCCTCTACCTTCAGATCTACTCTGTCTTCTTTGGAGCATTTTCCTGTTGTAGATCCTTAAGTCTGGCCTGTTCTTTTGTATGTTCTGTTCTAAACTATGCACTCTGTCTTTCTTTGGTGGATAAGGGTAGGCATGTGCACTAGAGGTCCTAGGACTACTTGCTGGAGTCAGCCCTGTCCTTAAGTGTGTGGGGTGCAGAGATGGAACTCAGGTCAGCACAGGCATGGTGGCAAGTGCCTTTATCGCCTGAGATGGCCCACACAGTGCATTTTGATTTCTTAAAAATATTCCTCCTTCTGCACTAACTCAGGTCATCATGGCGCGTGATTCTCAGATGCGCTTTCACACTTAGCTCTGTTTTATAAACCCAGTTGTTCCAGGGACACTGCCGCTGTTAGGGACCCTCACCTCCCACATTGTGTGCTTGGAACCTCAGTTCATCACAGTCCCTCCTGGTCCTTCCTAAAGATGCCCCCTTCCTGTCCCCATCCGCAAACCTTAGTACTGCACTCTGGGTCTCCGCCTCATGCCCAGGCAGCAAGCATCCTGCTGTCTCCTGCTTTCAGAACTGTCTCTCCTGGATTAGGGAGCTAGCTCAGTGAATTATGTGCTTACTGTGCAAACACAGGGACCTGGGGCACTGTGAGTCTCAGGGTGTGGGGTGAACACAGGTGGATCTCACAGCGATAGTGCGTGGCCAACCTAGCAGAAATGGTGGGCTCTAGGGTCAGTGGGAGACTCGGTCTTCAAAAAATAAGATGGAGAGTGATCTAGGAAGGCATCTGATGTCAGCCTTTGAACACACCACACATGTACACATTCACACACATAAACACACGCACACACAAATGCACACATACATGTACACACATGTACACACATACATGTACACACATGCACACATGTATACAAATGCACACACATGCACATATACATGTACACACATGCACACATACATGTACATACACATGCTCACATACAGAGCAGTATTCCTGGATGTTCATGTGCACCCTCACGCAAACCACACACACACACACACACACACACACCCCACATTCCTTCCACCAGTGGCTCCTTTTCATTCTTACTGTGCCTACCTGAAGCCCACCATTTTATGTCTGCTTATCCGATGTGGTAACTGACTTTGCATTTGAAACCCATAGTTTGTAAAACACCTGCTTTTATACAGTTAGAAACTACGTCTTTAAGTTTTTATTGTAAGAATTTGGCTGATTTAATAGGCTCTCCCAAGGATTAAAGATGAGATTGGTGACTGGGGGTGTCCACAGAACGGGAGGGAGGGACTTACTGCTGCTTCTTTTGGAAGCACACCTGGCCAGTGACCTTGAGCACACGGGGATTTGTAGGCCGGGTTGTGAGACTAATCCCACACCTAGCTCCCGTGCCTACCCTTCC